CCTCCCTACACCCTTCACCTTTCCTTCTCACCTTGCCACCTATATAGATTTCCCCTCCACACTGCCACCAGAGCAAAAATATAGGTCAAAGTGTCAATCCAAATAAACAAACACTGCCACCAAACCAAACTGAACTATAAAAGCAAAATAAGAACCCAAACTATACCCAGAACACCCAGAGCTACAAATGGCTCCTATAGTTAGATTTTCCACAATGAAAGATTTTTAGGTGACCTGTTCAAAAATGTCTTTTCTTTTAAAGTGTGTTGAAGTGACAGATTGTGTACAAAGTAATACAGTGTTAGAGTGGTATTTATTTATACTTCTCATCCAACCACAGCTGAGTTCACTCCATCCAGGAGGAACAGTTGATCAGGATTTAATAACAAGCTGGAATAGGAGTATCGACTTTCTRCTTCTTATCTTTTTAAATAACTGTAAGGAGTAGAAAGTTCAGATAACTGTAAAAGGAGTAGAAGTAAAATATAGGATGAAAATAATTACTTAGGTAAAGTACAGATAACCAAAATTTCTCCCTAAGTACAGTAACAAAGTATTTGTACTTGTTACTTTACATAAATATAGACACAGCTGTTGTTTTTGTCATACAGACCTCAGGGAACAGGATTCTGCCTTCAGGCTCACAAACATGTTTGACAGTATTTCAAATTAAATAAATTGCAAGGATTTCCTATAAAAAGCAGATAAAAGACTATAATAACAGTTTTGTTGCTGAATTATCAATTAACAGACGTTTTATTTACACAGAAAAACCTGTTTTTCTGGAGAACAAGTTAACACTTATTGGGTGTTAAAAGGAACGATGATGGTAAACATGACTCAGCTTCTTTAGAACAAGTTTCAGGCATCAAATTCAACAAGTGAACATTTAATAAAAACAATAAAGTTTATCTGTTTGAACGTTACTGACTTGGATAAACATCAACATGTATTTATATTTGTAGTTGGTGTGGTTTGTTTTCACACTGCACTCACACACCTGTTTGTGGTGGAGCTGCACAAAAACCCTGAAGACACACAACTCCTTCTTCACTAACCGTACACAAACATGGTGATGTGGGGTTTAACGGCCTGTCACACTGTGATGTTTTAAACATCTTTTAACTTATGAAATGTTTTTTTTTTCACTAAATGACTAATAAAGTTAGATATTTGATCAATTTATTAGCATTACAGTACATACACAACTAAAGTTTCACACAACGTCCAACTTTYATTGGGATTGGGGATGTTTTGTGTACTGACAGTTACTGAGTAAATGTGTGTAAGTTTAAATTTAACAGTTAGACCCAAAACAAACCTTTTGTTGGCCTGAGGGACACTCCAGTTTCATGTTTTGTATTATTTAAAAATTGCGATAATCCTTAATATTATTATAGATTTAGAACCTGTTGTTGAAGTTTAAAAAACATGAAGTTTATAACTGTTTGAGCTGAAGTGCTGTCAGCTCAGGAGCAGAAGAGTTTCTGTCCCACACAGCTCTGCTGCTGGTGAGACAAATGACTTTTACTGGTTTCACTTTTAATTAGTTGTGAAAAGAGATACTGTGTTAGTATGTTTTGTAACTTTAGTGTCGAACTGTTCTGTAAGTTTATTCTTCTATTATGTTCAATAAAATGTATGAAAAACTGGTGAAAATTTACTGTGTAAACTTTTTTATGTATCACTTTACAACAAGGCTCCTCTTATAGATGACTTATAATCACTTATTAATCATTTTTAAAGTGTTTACAGATTAATTAATAACCTATAAACTCTTTATAAACCATCTATAAGGGGGCCTTATTGTAAAGTGGTACTTTTTAAAAAAAAAAAGACATTACAAGTGTTTGAAGTGTAAAATGTAAACTCTGGGAGTTTGTGAGAAAGGATGTAGAACAAATATTTGGCCCCTCTGTGAATATCGGGGCCCTTTGATGGCCCCTGACTCAGAAAAACCATAGATCCACCCCTGCTTATGGCAGACTGAGGTCCTGCAGGTCTCAGGAGTTCTGACCCAGAAACCAAAGGAACCTTGATCCAATCAGTCGTGTTCGAAGCGATCGGAACCAGAAGTGAAAACCTGATGAGTCCCTGAGCTGACCCGATCCAGACCAGCTGCTGTGACCCAAAAYAAAACATTTAGTTTTTTTGTAATGAGCTCAAAAACAACTCGTTTTTAGAATTAATCAAATAAACTTCAGATTTTTCAAACAAAACTTTTGTACTTCCTGCAAACATGAAACAGGTTTTAGTCCAACAGGTGAAGGGACGAGTTTTATTTTGAAAGAAATAAAATGTTCATCAGATAAACAAAGAGGACACTCGGCTGTCAACAAGCTGCTCCAGTTCCAAACAGAACCAGCAGGTCCGGTTCCACACGGGACTTTGGCACAAAAGTTCTGATTCAGAAACAAGTCCCTTCAAAATAAAAGCCTGTTTTCAGGTCCAGGTAGTTTTAGTGTCCCACTCTTCAAAGGTTTTCACCTTTTTACAGGTTTTATAAAATAAAAACAAGACAAAATGTAAAAGTTTTAAACTTCCTGGCAGAAGATCTGGATCCGGGACATAAAACTGGTTCCATCAGAACCTCCTGACCCTAAAGAAACCTGAACTGGACCTGGATCTTCCAGAAGGAACTCCTATCATCCTGTAGCCCTTTAAAGAGGTCCAGACCATCAGTTCTCCTGAAGGTCCTCAGTCCTCAGACCTGATCTGGATCTGGTTCCAGTCCAGCAGCRGGTCCACATCAGGGTTTGGATCAGAAACATCTTTAGATCAACAATAAATAAAAACAAGAGGGGCTGAAGACTTCTGCACGGTCCTGCAGCCGAACATGAAAACTGCTGAAGAAGAAAACCCTCTGAGACCAGGACCAGGACCAGAACCAGAACCAGAACCATTTCTCTGAAGAACTTTATTCCAGAACTGTTGGACGGGTCGGGGTCAGAGGTCGAGCAGCTGAAGATCCTGATCCGCCTCAGCTCAGAACCAGAACACCTGACCCGGCTGGAGGCTGAAACCCCCAAACTGGGTCCATCAGAACCAGTCCAGCTCTGCAGGGAGCCGGTCCTCCGGGCTCAGTTCTCCAGGAGGACGGTCCTGAGCCGGTCCTCCGGGCTCAGGCTGACGGTGGCGATGGCGCCGTCGTTGAACTCGAAGGACGTCCCCCCGTCCACCACCATGCAGGCGTCCCAGCAGCGTGAGCGCACGCACACCCTGAGGACAGGACAGAACCTTTAAACCTGGACCCACAGCCGGGTCTGGGTCAGAACTGAAGGTCCTGCTACGACCCMGGACCAGAACCAGAACCAGGCCTTCACTGAACCTCAGAAATAAGAGTTTATCATCCGAAAGAGTGAAACGTGTTAGAGAGCCGAAACCTTCAGCTTATAGCTTTTAGCTACTGTTGGTTTTAGCTTTTAGCTCCAGTTGGTTTTAGCTTTTAGCTACTGTTGGTTTTAGCTTTTAGCTACTGTTGGTTTTAGCTTTTAGCTACAGTTGGTTTTAGCTTTTAGCTACTGTTGGTTTTAGCTTTTAGCTACTGTTGGTTTTAGCTTTTAGCTCCAGTTGGTTTTAGCTTTTAGCTACTGTTGGTTTTAGCTTTTAGCTACAGTTGGTTTTAGCTTTTAGCTCCAGTTGGTTTTAGCCTTTAGCTACTGTTGGATCCTAACAGAACCAGACTGGACCCACCTGGAGTCTGTCAGGACCTCAGGTTCTGTAAGACCATTAAATACTGGACCTGGACCAGTAAGAACTGGACCGGGACCATTAAGAACTGGACCGGGACCAGTAAGAACTGGACCTGGACCAGTAAAAACTGGACCGGGACCATTAGGAACTGGACCGGCACCAGTAAGAACTGGACCAGGACCAGTAAGAACTGGACCGGGACCAGTAAAAACTGGACCGGGACCAGTAAGAACTGGACCGGGACCAGTAAGAACTGGACCGGGATCATAAAGAACTGGACCGGGACCATTAAGAACTGGACCTGGACCAGTAAAAACTGGACCGGGACCAGTAAGAACTGGACCGGGACCAGTAAGAACTGGACCGGGACAGTAAGAACTGGACCAGGACCAGCTTGGACCCACCTGGTTCCGAAGCCCCTCTGGCGGCTGCTGGAGAACACTCTGTTGGAGATGGGTTCTCTGACGCTGTAGAACAGGCGCTGGTCGTCCGGGCTGAACACCAGGGCCTCGTTGTACCGGTCCGTCACTGAGCACAGACAGGAAGCGGGTCAGAACCAGAACCCAAACTGAACACGGGTCTCAGCAGAACCTCAAACCCACCTCCTTCAACAAACTCCGGGTTCAGACGGAGGTCCAGTCCAGACTGAGACTTTCCTGAAAACAGCAGGATTTTAGAACCAGAACCAGGAGTTAAACTGGTCCGGTTCTACTCCAGAACCAGAACCAGAAGCAGGTCCTAATAAAGTAAAGAGGCGGAACACACCGATCAGCAGAACCTCCTCCACGGCCTGCTCTGACAGCTTGTTGATGTTGTAGGACCTGCTGACACCAAGAAGAACCTTTAAACCCAAACCCACATGGGCACAAAGCCAGACCAGGACCAGAACCAGAACCAAGTGGTGTTTACCAGGCTTTGGACCCGGTTCCGGTGCAGATACTGAGTCCAGAGCTCTTCTGTTTCTCCCAGGGTCCATCGTCCACAGAGATCTCATAGTACGAAGCCCTGCAGGGACAGAAACAGGTCTGACTTCAGACTGACGGACCAGAACCGGGTCAGAGGTGTCTCAGGACAGAGGACAGAACCTGGAGGACAGAGACTCTCCGATGAAGATCTCATTCAGGCTCCTGACTGGGAGGAGGCTGGGCTCCGACACCGTCTGATGGACCGACCCGGGTTCTGGAAGACAAACTGAGTCAGGACAAAGAACCGGACCCTGGTTCAGACAGTCCTGGACCAGGACCGACTGATCCGAGGACACTCTGAAGGGACGGACTCGTACTCTGCAGGTCGTCCACGGTTCTGACCCGGTGGGCCTGGTTGTGCTGCTCCAGGCTCAGCTGCAGCTCGTGCAGGTCCACCGGGGTCGGGTTGATACCGGTCCCCTCCAGGTGCAACCGGATCCTCTGGCGCCACAACCATCTGAACACAGGACAGGTTCTGAGTTCTGATCCAAACAGGACCGCTTCGTTAGAACACAACAGAACCAGCTGTCTGTTAATGGAGGATAATGTTTGTGGGCGGAGCCTAACTGTCTGTTTGACCCGAGGGCAGCAGGCGGGTCAGAACCTTCAGATAAACTGAAGTCCATCAGACAGGGTTCTGGAGACTTGATCCAAGCTAACAGGATTACAGAACCGTTTGGATTACAGACACCTGCTCAACAGGTTCTGACAATCTGCTCACCTCCACACGGAACCAGAACTGGACCTAAGAGATCCCTTTAGACCCCATGAGACCGTTCCCAGGACCACACACATTTACCCTCTGAGCTGACGACACGTGAACGGGTCAGAACGGGTCAGAACGGGTCAGAACGGGTCAGAACGGGTCACAGGTAAATACACACCTGAACTCACCGCGCCACAGTCGGTCCAGAGCCTCGGGGAAGGCCCGGGTGTACCGGACCGGGAGGCAGAGGTGACCCTCGGACCTTCAGGAGGAACTCACTCAGATTATTCAGGTCAAGAACTTAAATAAAAACACTTTAAAATAAAACTTATAAATTATTGTTTATAAATAAATAACGTTTATATATTAATACAATTTATAAACCAATAAAACATATAAAGTATATAAACAACTAATGTTTAAAAATAAAGACAGTTTATAAATAACTAAAGTTTAAAACAAAGTATTTAAACAAATACATTTTTAAACAACTAAGGTTTATAAATAAAAACAGTTTCTAAACAAACAGAATATATA